AGGCACCCGCGCCTCCCCCAAGGGGCGGCAGCACCAGCCTGCATTTTAGAGACGGTGGTTGAGGCTGTCATTAATGAGGTCCATCACAAAACTGTTCTTGTCTTGGCACTAGCATTGCAGACCCCAACTCCAAAGGGAGGGTTCTCTCTTATCTGCTCTAAAGTCACCCTGGTGCCTCTGGGACAGAGAGTCCTGCCAGAAGACAGACACAGAAGGTAGAATTTATTTGGTAGATCTTGTCATGGAATATTCTCATCAGCATTATGGAGATCAAATTTCATTGCTTTATCTAGGCATTTGTTTTGGTAGACAGCAATGCTTTGTTCAAGCTGTCCAAAAACAAACAGAGAGGGCAACTCAGTGCAAAAATGTCCCACAGGCATAACCCACCCCCTCCCTGAAAGGTTTGAATGGAAAGCTCACAGGCACTGCCAAGAAAACTCAATGAAGAAAGTCTCCGTTACCCCCATAGCCCATCACACAGCTTCTAGAAAATCACACATTCTTCACCGGTTTGGTCAGTGCAGGCCGATAAACTCCAACACCTTGGAGTCCTGTTGACCAAGAGCCCTTGCCAACCTATGCAGGTAAAACGCAGGGTGGCCGGGCACCAGTCTCTACAGGGATGCTGTGCCGCCTGCCCAGAGGACCACCCCTGAGACCCTACCCTGGAGCATCTGGGCAGTTGCTCAATAGCAATGCCACCCTGAAAAACATCCAACACACTTTCTGGACTCTTTGGTGCTTCAGTAGCCCCACCAGCAGAAAGCCAAGTGTTAAAGACAACCAGAAAGCTTCAGCGTCCTTCAGCACACCACAATATGCGATGGCAGGGCCCAGATTGCTAATGTGGTTGACAGACTTTCATGTTGGGGATTAATATCGTGGCCAGGAAGTCCATCACTCTGGACAACATTTTCCACTGCAAGGGAGGAAATGTTTAAACACCTCTGACCTCTCAATACCTGCTTCACAAAACTCAGGCCAGCTTTTTCTGACCCCTGGAAAATGAGGGATATGCTAAATGCAGAGCAAGGACAGAAGCTGCTTTTACAACATTTTATGCTTTCTAGCTTGCTTTCCCCAGGAGCCCTGCCTGTCCACCTGCGTAAGCAGGAGCTTTCTCTCCACTCATCTCCCAGCAGCTTGATCCTGCCATTAAGACCTAATCCGGCGATTTTCAGC